CCGTCCATCTGGGGCCGCTCTTGCTTCCTCAGATCCCCTGCTGGTCTAGCCTGGGCCCACCCAGTTACTGTGTGTTGTACGAGGAGGCACAACAGGAGTCTGGTGAAAAGGCTGTGTCTGGGGGGGAAGGACTTGCAGTTGCTTCCTGTTCTGCAGTGGGCTGCGCCAGCGGCTGGCCTGGCGAGAGGGAAGCAAGCAGTGTTTCCCTTAACACTGACAATGCTGTCATTAGATGCATTTCACCACTCTCTCTCTCTCTCTCTCTCTCTCTCTCTCTCTCTCTCTCTCTCTCTCTCTCTCTCTCTCTCTCTCTCTCTCTCTCTCTCTCTCTCTCTCTCTCTCTCTCTCTCTCTCTCTCTCTCTCTCTCTCTCTCTCTCTCTCTCTCTCTCTCTCTCTCTCTCTCTCTCTCTCTCTCTCTCTCTCTCTCTCTCTCTCTCTCTCTCTCTCTCTCTCTCTCTCTCTCTCTCTCTCTCTCTCTCTCTCTCTCTCTCTCTCTCTCTCTCTCTCTCTCTCTCTCTCTCTCTCTCTCTCTCTCTCTCTCTCTCTCTCTCTCTCTCTCTCTCTCTCTCTCTCTCTCTCTCTCTCTCTCTCTCTCTCTCTCTCTCTCTCTCTCTCTCTCTCTCTCTCTCTCTCTCTCTCTCTCTCTCTCTCTCTCTCTCTCTCTCTCTCTCTCTCTCTCTCTCTCTCTCTCTCTCTCTCTCTCTCTCTCTCTCTCTCTCTCTCTCTCTCTCTCTCTCTCTCTCTCTCTCTCTCTCTCTCTCTCTCTCTCTCTCTCTCTCTCTCTCTCTCTCTCTCTCTCTCTCTCTCTCTCTCTCTCTCTCTCTCTCTCTCTCTCTCTCTCTCTCTCTCTCTCTCTCTCTCTCTCTCTCTCTCTCTCTCTCTCTCTCTCTCTCTCTCTCTCTCTCTCTCTCTCTCTCTCTCTCTCTCTCTCTCTCTCTCTCTCTCTCTCTCTCTCTCTCTCTCTCTCTCTCTCTCTCTCTCTCTCTCTCTCTCTCTCTCTCTCTCTCTCTCTCTCTCTCTCTCTCTCTCTCTCTCTCTCTCTCTCTCTCTCCCTCTCTCTCTCTCTCTCTCTCTCTCTCTCTCTCTCTCTCTCTCTCTCTCTCTCTCTCTCTCTCTCTCTCTCTCTCTCTCTCTCTCTCTCTCTCTCTCTCTCTCTCTCTCTCTCTCTCTCTCTCTCTCTCTCTCTCTCTCTCCTCTCTCTCTCTCTCTCTCTCTCTCTCTCTCTCTCTCTCTCTCTCTCTCTCTCTCTCTCTCTCTCTCTCTCTCTCTCTCTCTCTCTCTCTCTCTCTCTCTCTCTCTCTCTCTCTCTCTCTCTCTCTCTCTCTCTCTCTCTCTCTCTCTCTCTCTCTCTCTCTCTCTCTCTCTCTCTCTCTCTCTCTCTCTCTCTCTCTCTCTCTCTCTCTCTCTCTCTCTCTCTCTCTCTCTCTCTCTCTCTCTCTCTCTCTCTCTCTCTCTCTCTCTCTCTCTCTCTCTCTCTCTCTCTCTCTCTCTCTCTCTCTCTCTCTCTCTCTCTCTCTCTCTCTCTCTCTCTCTCTCTCTCTCTCTCTCTCTCTCTCTCTCTCTCTCTCTCTCTCTCTCTCTCTCTCTCTCTCTCTCTCTCTCTCTCTCTCTCTCTCTCTCTCTCTCTCTCTCTCTCTCTCTCTCTCTCTCTCTCTCTCTCTCTCTCTCTCTCTCTCTCTCTCTCTCTCTCTCTCTCTCTCTCTCTCTCTCTCTCTCTCTCTCTCTCTCTCTCTCTCTCTCTCTCTCTCTCTCTCTCTCTCTCTCCTCTCAAGTGAACAACAGAACATAAGGGATTAATTCCAATAAAACGGCCGACCCCCAAACTCCACTTTTTGAAGACACATAACTATGTTGTAGTAAAAAGTAACATCTTAATTTTATGATGGTACATACACAATTAATACTTTAGAAATACAGTCTGCCAAGTTAATGTCCATTCAAATAATGGACTCAACTCCCTCCCCTCTTCTCCACTACACTGCTGGCTCTTCCCTCTGAGAAATTTTTGGGGGAAAACCACTAAATTTTAATAAATAATACCTCAAACTAAAGTTAGGATAATACAATTGACATTGCTGGATTCCTTGTAAGACCAGGAATATTTTGAATATAAATGTCATATATTTTGCACAAAAGATAACATATTTACTAGAGAAAACATTTTATCTAAAATTTGTATGTCTAATGCAAAATATATGATGTTTATATTCAAAATGATCACCAAATTATAAGAATTCCAGCAATGTAAATTATATTCTGGCCGGGTAATTTGTATGAATTTTATGTGCTAAAACAGGCAGTCAGGCAGGGTGGCGGGTGGGGCAAATCTAAAAATAGCGTCTCGAGCCGGACACTCACCGCGTATATGTGGAAAAAATCCGTGTTAAGTGAAAGTTCAGCTTTGGCGAGGCACCGCGTATATGATAAAACGCGTTAAGTGAAACCGCGTTAGGCAGGGTAATACTGTACATCAAACGAGGAAGAAAAACCATCTCCAACACCCTGTGTGAGCTGAAGGACCTACCCGGATCACGTGGAGCAGCTGTAGTGAGGTAGCGGATTAGCACCCAGGTACAATGCAATGGCCATCCAATGAGGTCACAAGAATGTTTACAAGACCAGTTAATCTATATATTGACTATGTTTCTTATGTTTTGTATTGAAAGCTTTTGTCAATTAAGTGACCCACTCCCTGATTTCACCATATGTAACTTATCACCTCTATTCATTGTATATTTTCAGCCTTTGGGCTGCCATGTTATCTTAATAAACCTTTAATAATTATTATTATTATTATTATTATTATTATTATTATTATTAATATTATTATTATTATTATTATTATTATTATTATTATTATTATTATTATTATTATTATTATTACACAGACACACATGTGCACACACACACACACACATTTGCACATGCACACACACACACACATGCACACACACACACACACACATGCACACACACACACGTGCACACACACACACGTGCACACACACATGCACACACATGCACACACACATGCACACACACACACACCACAAGATGTATCCATTTTATGGGGCACTATTTCTGCCATCAAGAGTCTTGTTGTGTGACTGCGTGGAGGCGAATTAAAGGATCAGCTGTTAAGGAGCTTATCACTTGGCAACACTGGTGCATGTTACCACTCCTTTCCACTCCATCTCTCTAATCACTCACACTTTTCTGCTTTCTCACTCCATATTTTAAAATGTTATGTAATGTAATGTTGAAGGGATACAACTTTGCTAATTTATACTTATACTTATCACAATCTCCCTAAAAATACTATAGGTTTCGTGTTTATTCAAGACATCTTCAGGTCATGAGACCCACTAATCCCCCAGACAAGAAAGGGTGACCTGACATTCCATCAGAAGGTCAGTAATATGAGACCACTAATCCCCCGCCCTACCTCCACCTGACATTGAGTCAGGTCAGGTCCCCCACAAAATACTATAGCTGTTGTCTTTATTCAAGACATTTTCAGAAAATTCTCTCGATTTTCAACCTCTGAAAATTTGTTCGCAAAGCCTGAAATTTTTGGAAAATTCCGGCTTTGAATAATTTTCTGAGCAAATTTCACTTCCGACTATCGGAGAGTTCCGGGTTTGACGGATTCTGGCTAATGGTGATATTATTGTACAATACAGTACAGGTACCTATAATGTATACAGAATCTGTATAATGCAGTAGCTCACCCAGCAGGGATGGCACCCAAGTCTATGCCCAAAATTCATTTATATTTCCTTTACAGCATATGGATACACGTATTCTGCAGGTAGTTTAATGAAATATAATTGAATCATTTTTGGTATAAAATATATGATAAGATGTCCACTAAAGACCTAGAAAGATAAGCAATCACTACCGTCTGTTTGGCATCGCCATGGTGCCTGACTCTGTAATAAAAATTATGATATACGTATGCCATATTCAGTGTATTATCTACCATGAATATAATGAAATAGAATTTTGGATTTCAGAGCTTTTCAGACTTGGGAAGTTTGGATAAGGGACACCCAACCTGTCATATGAAATATTTATGGTCATTAGCTAAGTTTTTTCTTTACAATTACTCAAATCCAGCCATATTTCCCTCATCCATTTTCATCTCAGTGCCCTATCAAAGCCCAATATCAAGATGGTCTCCTAGATTCCTTGTATGCTCAAAGTTAATCCCCTGATCCTCACAACAAACCCTCCCCAGCATGTGCTGCAAATTCACCTCATCCCATGCAGTCACACAAATTTTGTATCCATCTAGTGTTTTCTGCTCTCTCCAGCCTGGACCAAAACAAATCTTCTAGGCCTTAAGGTATCTTACCTCTCATTCTCAAAAAATGTGCATTGGAACTTGCTCCTATCATCTAACTCTTCAACCTCGTTTTTCCTTGTCTTGGAACTTAACCATTCTGAAAAAAAGGTGATTTATCCTCCTCTTCTAAGTGTCACCTCATAGTTCTCTTTTATTATCTCCAGAGTTATGGAATATCATAAAGAAACAACAACTCACACATCTTGAAAAATACCAACTCCTCTCTGATACCCAGTATAGTTTCTGTTGCACTGCAAACTGTTTGCTCTTCTGACTTAGAAGCCTTGACTTTGATTTTGATGACTTCATTGAATCTTGCTATTGTTGTTACAGTATTTCTAAAGCTCCTGAGAAATTATAGTGTTTGATTCTCCTTGCTAAATTTCCTTATTTCCTCTCTTTAGTTCTTGAATTTTGTAGATCTCCACCTCTCACTACAGCCACCACATCCTTGCAGTGCCACATGTATTTTTATAATGATGGGAGTCTGGGCTAGTTTGATGCCAATGTCCACCACTCACTCTCCAGCATTACATTGTCTTAAGACTTCCAATTTTATTCACTGTTTCTGGACCAAACCTTCTAAATGCCATTACTGATTATTAACAACCCTTGATAAACCTGATCTATTAACAGTTTACCTACTGTATGTACACTGAATTATGTTTTCTTGCAGGTGATGAGTAGCTACTTTGGCAAGATATCCGAAGAGAATGTAAAAAACAACTTTGTGCTCATTTATGAACTTCTAGATGGTGAGTTTCGAATGTCATGACTGTATAATAGGTTAGATTTGTGATATATCAGCTTGAGAAGTTAATGTGTAAACCTTAAGGTACATTGTACATAGTTTACATTTGTTTTAATTATTAGATGCTGTGGAGAAAGTACAGTATACAAGACAGGAAATTAAAATAAAAGATAGGTAGAAAGAGATTTACAAGGATTCAGGAAAAAAGGGAGTGTAGTCTTTGAGTACTGTTTTGCTATAGCATTCTTAATCCAGGTTATATTTTGTATAAAGTATACTGCACTGTACTGTACAGTATATGCATATATACACAGACACTCCTCGGGTTACAGATGAGTTACATTTCTAGAGGCGACCTGAAAGTCGGAAGTGACCCTTCTATAGGTAATCATTGAACACACAGACAAGTATGTGCAATATATAAGGTCGATTGATCAGTTTTACAATGTTAAAAAAGTAACCATTTACCACTATGCGATGGCTAGAATCAGTTTTATGATAGTTGCTTCCCGTGGAATGCATGGGAGGTTTGGCCCGTCTCTGGTAATTGCCAGGCTAAGCAGTTGAACCGTCTCATGTCGCCCAGAGGAAGGTTTGTGTGTGGAATAAATAAAGATACTGTAATCATAAGAAATGAAATAAAAGAAAGAAATACTGTATAGTATACTGCATTGCCAGAAATTTTGTCACTACACACGAGATAATGAGACAGCGAGCCAAGATCCCTCACGCCCCTCCCCTGCTATGTGTTCAGGCCTTGCGTGCGCGTGCGCGCACACACACACACACACGTAAGAAATGTTTATTCCCTTTATGGTTTTGAGCTTATGATAATTATTATTATTTTTCTTTGCACATTTTGTATGAACGATTGTGTGCATTAAAGTAAAAAAAAAATATACTGTATCTACTCAAAATTTCAAGTTGAAAGATAACAATAATACAGCTCATTGCTTGGCCTGGTAGGGGGAGGCTGAGATCCCGATGCTGCACCTCCTTCCGCTCTCCCTTACCTAGTGATGTACGTAATTTTTTTTCTGGCAGAATAAAAATTTTTTTCCCCTGAAAACACAAGATAAAAAAACGTTGTGTGATGTCGATGTCACATTCTGGAATATATCACAAAAACTGTTTTTTAGGAAAAAAAATGGCTTTTTGTTCAATCCAGAAAACAATGTCTAGCTTTGATTACCCAAGCAGGAGGTGGAAAGGGAGGTGAGGCTGCGTATAAGGCTCCGCTAGCTTAGGTCCAGATTATAATTACTGTATAAACTTTTTTTGAATATTTTCCAGTATTAGGAACATTTACCGGAAGGTAAAATGTTAATTTACATATCCCAATTAGGATACTCACTTTACTCTGATGCGTTTCTCCTATTCTTTTTTTTTTTTTTTTAATTTATACCATGGTAGTTAACTTTTAAACTCTTCAACCTGGTTTTCTCTTAATTTCTTACTTCATTTATTTTCTCCATTAGTTTTGTCTAGTTATTTCATTTCATTTCATATATTTACTCCATAACCTCTGACCTTTGGTAGCGTGGCTCGAGGGTTATGACACATGGGTACATTGTAATTGTGGTATCAAGCAATAGGAAGGAATGGCAGTAAAATACTGCAGGTAAATGATACTCCTAACATACAAATAAAATATAAAATGGTTTATTAAAATGAAGTTAGATTTTAATACTAATTTCAGTAACACTCAACTACAGGGGTCAACTTCCTGGCTTTATTTATTTTGTACTGTTAAACTTAGGTACATTTTCCACTTACACCATGGCTGGGTGTACATATACAAGAACACACACAATACTCTTACATAGCACCTTTGAGCACCATTATTACAAGTGGCAAAGATGAAAGTATGTGTTGTAATAATTTCTACAGGGATCGACAAGTCATTATTATTTAGTTGTGGTCCTTCTGTAGTTGAAGGGTTCAGAATACATGTACAGTACTTGGCAAAGCTTCTAAGATAAAATCATTATTTTTTACCTCATGCATATTGATTAATTTTACAATTTAACCAAGTCACCCAGGAATTATGCTCAGTAATGCATTATCATTTCTGTGTTAACTTGAGCTTGGATAGTGACACTGGTTTTATTTAGATCTTATAACTGAGTGTGCTTCTTATTCCAGAGATCCTTGACTTTGGGTATCCCCAGAACACAGATACAGGAGTCCTCAAGACTTTTATTACACAACAGGGTATCAAGACAGCTAGTAAAGAGGAACAGTCACAGATTACATCCCAGGTATGTACCAGTTGTCTCCAGTCTTTCTCAAGTAATGATATATCATATTGAAAAATTTAGTTATTACTACTACAGTTTATCCAAGCAATGACCATTATACGGTGCGGTTAGGGACCTCAAAAAGCCATCGATAAGTGATTGATCATATATTGATCTTAATAACTTGTAGGAAAAATAGGTTCCGTTCCTGAGACCCTGAGGAGCCCAAATAAGTTTTATATCCTGCTGCTATAATGATTAAATGTCAAAACTCAAATAATTTATAAAGAGACATAAAACCAAAAAAATTATGCAAAATAAAGAAAAATTTTTTTTATATGCAATATAAATTATTTATTTCCAGTTACCTTACATGATATGCACAGGAGGATGTTGCACATATTGTACAATCTTTCATACAGAATGTGCAATAAAAAAAAAGAAGTAAAAAACATGAAGGGATTCAACATTTATTATGTGTGTGGGAGCTAGAACAAGAGAGTGAGGGAGTGGCATTCCTTCACGGCTCTGCTGTCTCGTTCTAGTGACAAGATTTCTAAATGGCAACGCATTATTTTTACTTTATTTATTATTATAATTATTTTTATTTATTCCTCTCATTTACCATTACAGGCATCCCCTGGGTTACGGAAGGGATGCGTCCTTGAAAATGTTTCCATATCGTGAAATTCCGTAACGTGAAACCAATTTTCCCATTGACTCCCATTACAGGCAGTAGGCAGCTATCACACAGGAAGGTACTACTGCCTGGGAAGATATTGGAAGCATAATGTATTGTCTAATGGTAGATCCTGCTACCATATGGCATCACAAAAATTGTGACCAAGTCCCAGGTGGCTGATCTGACTTTCTGCCTCATTTACACACAATTGCAGGTTCTCAATTGTTTCTCTTACTTTGACAACACAACATACATATATCTTTTCTCACAATTTATTTTATTTTTTATTTTTGTAGGTAGTTATTATTTTTATTTTTCTTAATATCGGAGGGCAAGCTGGCAATCCTTGCGAGAATTCTTCACCGACTTTCCTTGGGATGAATGTTGCTTTTCCACTCAGGATGCCTCGGTATGAGCTGACAGCATTGCTGGGGTTATACAGGGCGGTATGAGTGCATTTATCCCATCTTCTACCAAAACTTTCACATTACAATCATGGTTTGATCGCTCCTGCTCTCTTGCTTGCAGGGTGAGAGATAGGGCATGTCGAGCTATGAAACTATCTCCTTCTCCTATTACCCACACCTCTTTCATTACTTCTAGGAATCGTTGTAAGGCTATTCTTCGTAGGGCCAAGCGGAATTTTATTAAAAGAAAGACCGCTGTCCTGACTAATTCTTCCTCTAGTAAATCCTTCTGATCCTTAATTAAAAAAATCTGTAACAACTTCTGCACACCTTCTTTTCCTCCCCTCTTCCGTCCCAATAACTCTATAGCCAACTCTCCCCCTGACAAAGCCAACCTCTTTGGCACCTTATTCTCCTCTAATTCTACCTTAGACAATTCCCACTCTATCCCTCCTACCCCTGCACCTCCTACTGAACCTATGCACTTTCCTCTAATCTCCACTCGCAGGGTTGCCGTTGTGTTATCAATGTTGAATGTGAGTAAGGCGCATGGACCGGACCGAATACTCCCTCGTGTTCTGAGGGAGTGTGCTGAAGCCCTGGCCCCTGTGCTTGCTCGTCTCTTTCGCCTTTGCCTCAAAACCCAAACTTTTACTTCTTGGAAGCATGCCTTCGTTCAGCCCATCCCAAAGAAGGGTGACCATTCTAATCCCTCTAACTATCGCCCCATTGCCCTAACTTCATCCCTCTCTAAGATTTTCGAAACTATCTTGAACTCCCATTTTCTCCTTCACCTTGAACGCCTTTCTCTTTTGTCAGATCACCAGTATGGCTTTCGCCAGGCGAGATCTACTGGTGATCTGCTCTCCTATTGCACCCATCTTTGGTCATCCTCTCTTAGGAATTATGGGGAAACTTTTGTCGTGGCCCTCGACATCTCCAAAGCATTTGACAGGGTATGGCACAAGTCTTTGCTATCTAAACTTCCCTCTTTTGGTTTCTCTCCCTCACTTTGTTTTCTCATCTCTAGCTTCCTTGAGAACCGATCTATGGCAGTTGTTGTCGAGGGATCGATTTCTCGCTCTTTCTCTACCAGTAGTGGTGTCCCACAGGGTTCTGTTCTTTCACCAACTCTCTTCCTTCTTTTTATCAATGATTTACTTCACACTACAACTAATTCTATCCATTCTTGCACTGATGATTCTACTCTTCACTCTTCCTCACATTTTCCCCTTCCTCCTAACTCTCAAACTAGATCTGTTTCTAGAACTGATATCATTGCTTCTATCAGCGCAGATCTGTGCAGCATCTCTGAATGGGGAGGTACAAACTAGGTTAAGTTCAATAGTAATAAAACTCAATATTTACCACTTACACTTTGTAAATTAGACGATCTCCCACCAATTACATTTCAGGATGCTAGCATCCTCCCAAATTCTGAAATAAATATGTTAGGCCTCACCATTTCCTCCAATATGTCTTGGAAATCACACATCCTTAGTATAACTAAAGCTGCCTCCCGAAAGTTGGGAATGCTGTACAGATGCCGCAGCTACTTCACTCCTGAGCAGTTGCTCCAAGTATATAAGGGATTCATTCGTCCTAACTTGGAGTACTGCTCTCATATCTGGGGTGGCTCTTCTTCTGTCCAACTATTAGATAGGGTGGAATCAAAGGCATTTCGTCTTATTAACTCTCCTCTTTTAGTCGACAATCTCTTTTCCCTTTCTCTTCGCCGCAATGTTGCTTCACTCTCTCTCTTTTACAGGACTTTAGCGGGCAATGTTCGGTGGATTTGGCATCCTGTGTACCGCCGGCAAGGCCGTGGGTTCGTAACCCACGTCTTGCCCGCGGTGCCCACCATTTCTCTGTGGATGTCGGTCACACGAGAATAACCTGTTATAGTACCTCCTTCTTTCCTCACACAGCCAAACTGCGGAATACCCTGCCTTTTTCTGTGTTTCCCTGCTCTTACAATCTGTCTCACTTTAAACAGCTGGTTTTCTGGCATCTTCGTGGTGTAGATTCATACAGTATAACTTTTTTTTTTCTATATTAACAATTTCTTTCCATTCTTTTTTTTTTCGCCCCCCAGGCTCCGTTGTGGGTCGTTTGACCTGTGGCCAGGTGGGCTAATTCCCCGTAAAAAAAAAATATATATATATTTTTTATTAATTTTTATTAATTTTTAATTATTATTGTTGTTGTTGTTGTTGTTGTTGGTGTTGTTGTTGTTGTTGTTGTTGTTCCCAGGTCCTGATGTGGGTCATTGACCTTGTGCCCTGTGGGTTAATCCTATGTGTATGTGCTGTGGGGAGTGGTGGCGGGAGTGTGGTAGAGAGCTGTGGTATGAGTGCTGTGGGGAGTGGTGGTGAGCTGTGGTATGAGTGCTGTGGGGAGTGGTCGCGGGGAGTGTGGTGGAGAGCTGTAGGAGTGTGTGAGTGGTGGCGGAGTGTGGTATGGCGTGTGGTGGGGAGTGTGGTATGAGTGCTGTAGGGAGTGGTGGCGGGAGGTGGAGAGCTGTGGTATGAGTGCTGGGGAGTGGGTGGTATGAGTGCTGTGGGGAGGGTTCTGGGGAGTGTGGTGCTGTGGAGTGTGGGGAGCAGGTGGGCGTCAGTGTGGTGGGGAGTGGTGGTGATGGGGAATGGTGGCGTGAGTGCTGTGGGGAGTGGTGGCGTGAGTGTGGTGGGGGAGTGGTGGAGGGGAGGAGTGGTGGCTGTGGTGGAGTGTGGTGGGGAGGCTGGTGGGCTGAGGTGGGTGGGGAGGGGTGGTGGTAGGGTGGTGGGGAGTGGTGGCGGAGTGTGGTGGGGAGCGGAGGTGGTGGGGAGCGGTGGCGTGAGTGGTGGGGAGCGTGGCGTGAGGTGGTGGGGAGTGGTGGTGGGGGAGTGGTGTGGTGGGTGAGGGGGTGAGTGGCGTGAGAGGTGTGGGGGGAGGTGGCGTGAGTGTGGTGGGGTGGTGGGGAGTGGTGGGGGCTGGTGAGTGTGGTGGGGAGCGGTGGCGTGAGTGTGGTGGAGGGGCGTGGAGTGTGGTGGGGAGCGTGGCGTGAGTGTGGTAGCGTGAGGATGAGGTGGTGGGGAGCCGTGGCAGCGTGGCGTGGATGAGTGTGGTGGGGAGCGGTGGCGTGAGTGTGGTGGGAGCGGTGGCGGAGTGTGGTGGGAGGGGCGGAGTGGTGGGGAGCGTGGCGCAGGCGTGAGGTGGTGGGAGCGTGGCGTGAGTATGGTGTGGTGGGGAGCGTGTGGTGGGGAGCGTGGCGGAGTGTGGTGGGAGGTGGGGAGTGTGGTGGGAGCGGGCGTGGGAGCGGTGGTGTGGTGAGCGTGAGTGGTGGTGAGCGTGGCGTGAGTGGTGGTGGGGAGCGGTGGCGTGAGTGTGGTGGGGAGCGGTGGCGTGAGTGTGGTGGGAGCGGGTGGGAGCGGTGGCGTGGGGAGCGGTGGTGGTGGGGAGCGTGGGAGGTGGCGTGAGGTGGTGGGAGCGGAAGTGTGGTGGGAGCGTGGCGTGAGTGTGGTGGGGAGCGGTGGCGTGAGTGTGGTGGGGAGCGGTGGCGTGAGTGTGGTGGGGAGCGGTGGCGTGAGTGTGGTGGTGTGGGGGAGTGGTGGCATGAGTGTGGTGTGTAATGGCCCTTGTTTCATAAACAGAAGTATTATGTAAATGGGTTAATTACATTTGATTTATGTACTGAGTCACCCCCTGTAACTTTCCACTGGCTATGAGGTGACATGTTTAATACACGTGATAAGGTGTGCCCATGGGAAGCTGCTTCATACTATGCTGAGTAAAGGCATAAAGTAGCCGGCTCCTGGCCAACTAAAGCGGGCAGTAGCTTGATATCTTTGACTAGAGGAAGATGTTATTTGAGAGCTGCATTGGATGGCTCCGTCTTCCCTCGAGGGAGGGCGACGCGTCTATTCCGTTCTCCCTTGATGGGTCACTACTCAGTCTCACTCACAAACTAATATCGAACTGACGTTGATTCACGTCTACTGTATTTACATAGATGCTGTCCCTCTCTCTTCACGCTCATAGATAGCGGAAGATACGGTGATTTACACATCAGGAATTCCAGCAACGGTGGTGACGGATTATTACCGGTCTACATACCAAGACGTCAGTGTTTTGTGAAAACAAGAAAAACAAAAAACAGTGACGAGTTACAAACAATATCCGAGTGTTAAGACTATGTCCCGTATTGAGACGATAGTAATGGAGTGTTTCTCATTCTGTCGCCCAAAGATGCTACAGAATTATTCCCAATAACCGCAATTGAGTTATTGTTGATGTGAAATCCCTGTTAACGACAAGTGAGAGCGGTCAGGAAAGCGTCTGTCAGCACCTGACCATTCTGTGGAAGGTATTCCCCTGTCGTGAAGTGGACTCACCCTGCTCATAGTGGGAGGTAAGAGTGCGGTTACCCACCCACCACCCCCCACCTGGGACCATCTGTGGATTGTGTTTTCTGTGAAGACCTCCAACAGTGGGACTCTATAACTTCTCAAGTGATTGTTACAACTAACGGTCATCTCACCATATACACAGTTGGTAAAGGTAGAGGAATTATGTTCTCCTCATTACTCACGCCACCACTCCCCACAGCACTCACGCCACCACTCCCCACCACACTCAGGCCACCACTCCCCACCACACTCACGCCACCACTCCCCACAGCACCTGGTTACAAATCTTCTAAATTACAAAATTGTCCAGTTTGTACATGCCATTACTCAAATTCATGTTGACTGCTTCGGTCAACATGAATTTGAGTAATGGCATGTACAAACTGGACAATTTTGTAATTAAGAAGATTTGTAACCAGGTGAGAAGGTTGGGTCACCTTACCCTCTGACCTGACTACCGACTGTTGCGTTGGTTTTTAAAGATTAGTAGGGTCATTACCTAATACCTGAGTAAAGGCATAAAGTAGCCGGCTCCTGGCCACCTAAAGCGGGCAATAGCTTGATATCCTTGACTAGAGGAAGACGTTATTTGAGAGCCGCAGTAGGTGGCTCCGCCTTCCCTCAAGGGGGGACGAAGTCCCAATTCCGTTCTCCCTCGATGGGTCACTACTCAAAGTCTCACTCACAACTTAATATTGAACGGAAGTTGATTCACTTCTACTGTATTTACAAAGACGCCGTCCCTTTCTCACCACACTCATAAATAGTGGAACATACGGTTGATCTACACTCAGGAATTATACAAATAATACTTTTTAACAAAAGAAGAAACTTCAATTGGGTTTCGTTAATAAAGCCCAATATAATAAATATGTGAACCAACCTGGTTAACTTGGAATTAACCAACTGGATCAGGTGGGGAGCGGTGGCATGAGTGTGGTGGTGCGAGTGTGGTGGGGAGTGGTGGCGGGAGTGTGCTGGGGAGCGGTGGCGTGAGTGTGGCGGGGAATGGTGGCGGGAGTGGTGGCGTGAGTGGTGGGGAGCGGTGGCGTGAGTGTGGTGGAGAGCGGTGGCGTGAGTGTGGTGGGGAGCTGTGGCGTGAGTGCTGTGGGGAGTGGTGGCGTGAGTGGGTGCCAGGCGGGCGCGGGCGGTGGCGTGGAGTGTGGTGGGGAGCTGTGTGGCGGGAGCGTGGCGTGAGTGGCGGAGTGGTGGCGTGAGGGCGGGGATGGTGGCGTGGAGTGTGGCGTGTGGTGGGAGCGGTGGCGTGAGTTTGGGAGGCGGTGGCGTGAGTATGGCGGAGGTGGTTGCGTCGTGTGGCGGAGAGTGGTTATGAGTTGTGGCGGGAGTGGTTGCTGAGTTGTGGCGGGGCGTGGCGGAGGCGGAGAGTGGTTGCGCGGAGTGTGGCGGGGAGTGCGTGAGTTGTGGCGGAGTGGTGGCGTGAGTGTGGCGGAGAGTGGTTGCGCGGTGGCAGAGAGTGGTTGCGTGAGTTGTGGCGTGAGTGTGGCGTGAGAGTGGTTGGGAGTGTGGCAGAGAGTGGTTCGTGAGTTGTGGCGTTAGATTGTGGCGAGGCGGTGGCGGAGAAGTGGTTGTGTGAGTGTGGCGGGGAGTATGGAGTGTGGGCGGAGAGTGGTTGCGTGAGTGTGGCGAAGGCGTGGTGCGTGAGTGTGGCGGAGAGTGGTTGCGTGAGTGTGGTGGCGTGAAGTGTGGCGGAAGTGCGTGAGTGTGGCGGGAGTGGTTATGGAGTTGTGGCGGGAGTGGTGGCGTGGGTGGGCGGAGGTGGCGCGTGAGTGTGGGGGGAGTGGTTGCGAGTTGTGGCGGTTGTGGCGGAGAGTGGTTGCGGAGTGTGGCGGGGAGTGATGGCGTGAGTGTGGCGGAGAGTGGGTTGCGTGAGTGTGGCGGGGAGTGGTTGCGTGAGTTGTGGCGGGGAGTGGTTGCATCTGGGCACGCTGGTTGGCCGAGGAGATGTGACATAGCAAGGCGAAATCCATTGTGATTGGCTGCCTCGGGGGGTATGGTCCGAGTTAGTCACGCTGACATTGGCTCTCGCTCTGAATGGGATGTTGCCACTTTCTGGAACTGAGCGCATAGCCAGATACGTATTTCCAGTCCTGAGGTAAAATCACACCTTATTTTTGAAGGACTTTCTACCATATATCTATTCTAGCTAGAGGGTTACATCCAACACCAACATGTAGAGGAAGGGTGAAAATAGTGGTATCCACCAAAAAAACGCATTTTGGCTGGGGTGTCGCTTCACCCCCTTCTGACGCAGAGTGCCTCGTATGCAGTTGATAATTTGTTTTGTTTTACTAAGGATTTTGCTGCTAAACATTTATATGCTCTATGAGGTATTTAGAAATTAAACCCTTTAAGTCTGAGATTTGTTTGTTGTATGAGATTAACGTTTAACTAATGTAAGTAGAGTATGTGGACAGATGAAGACTGGTCTTATTTCTACAACAGGTGACTGGACAGATTGGTTGGAGGAGAGAAGGAATCAAATACCGGCGCAATGAACTCTTCCTTGATGTTATTGAATATGTTAACTTGCTGATGTCTCCACAAGGTTTGTGTCACATAGATCCTCAGTCTTATATATACAGTAGCTAAAACAACTATCTGTGCAGGTGGGGGTCGATGTGCTCCAAAATTTTACGCGTGACTAATGACAGCCCTCATATACCAAAATTTATCGTCCGTGGTCTCATTGTTTTCCACAAAGTATGCACCGATAGTTATTTTAGCTACTGTACATAATTCAATTATTGCTGTATTTTGCAGTTGAGAATGTGTCAAATGCAAAGTTTGTTAATATTGTATTGCATTTACTCTTGTGTACTGTACAGTGTTTACCCTGAATGGGGTGAAATGTATAAATGTAATTGTTTTTTTGGCATGGAAAAAATTTAAAATAGTTGGAGGAGTTGTGTTCAAGGTATCATTAGTGTGATCTTGGGAGTAATAAATAAAATAACTATAAGTGTCTAAATGTAGAAATGATGGGTTTGGAATTTGGGAATTAAAAAGAAAAATATTGTAATACAGTCATGCGCCGGTTAACGTCCAACCGAACAACGTCCGATCGCATATACGTCCGTGGCCCCCAAAAAGACACTTCCGTGACACCTGCCTGCTGGACCACCACTCCACGACCCCCTGACGGAGACACGATGATCCTCCCCATACTGGCCAGATATTATGTGTTAAAGGAATATCCTTCCTTCCTTAGGCTTTAGTAAGCATTTGCCTACAGGTGTAATGTTAACCTACATCTATTGAGGATAAATTCTTTCACCTACAAATTGACAATAACACATTTGCTATAATCAGACATACCTAGTTGCCTCAACAATTGCAACCTCAGTTGCAATTGGGGTTGGATTTTCAAATTCTGTGTCATTACTAAGGAATGGAGGACTCGGGTGTCCTGAAGCGAGAGAAAATGGACTCCTATGACGGGGCACTCAAATAAAGAAAGCATAGCTACATGTTTTGTGACTACCAATGTGTGTTTCTGATAATTACCATAACATTATATCTTTAGTGGGTCTGAATGAAAGCGGTTGTACAAACACAAGCACTCACACATGCCACTCAGACTGACAGACTTGACAAGTTTTACCAACCATAAAGACAGTTGAAGCTTTAAACATCACTCACAATGGATCTTGAATATTCCAACTGTAATCAGACATATCTAAGTTGCCTCAACAATTGCAACCCCAGTTGCAATATCAAATTCTGTGTCATTACTTAGGAATAACGAAGTCTCGGGTGCACTCTAAGATTAAGAGAAAACGGAGGACTCAGGCGTCCTGAAGTGAGAGAAAACGGACTCGTATGATGGGGGACCAAATAAAAAAAGCATAGCTACATGTTTTGTGGACTACAGTATTGAGCGTACCCTTTTCACCATTTTGTAATAAACCTAGCCATGCCTGTGTGTGTTTATGATATTTACCATAACATTATATATATATTTAGTGCGTCTAAATGGTCGTAAAATGGGAAACTTGGGGTTGGGTCTTGGGTGCCAGGAACCAATTAGAATAAATCCCATAGGTTCTGCACTTTTGTTATCGCGTTTTTGTGATGATCGGACAACTCCATTTCGGTTAACGTCACGTTTCCAAGAACGCATCTAGGACAATAACCGGCGCATGACTGTATTAATACAGTGGTCCCTCGGTTAACGAGCACATTTCGTTCCACAGAGTCGTTCGTTAACAGAATCTATTATTTCAATGGGACATTGGGTAATTAGTTCCAGCGCACAGAAAAGTACATACAAAGTAAAGCCAAAAATGCATGAAGTCAGAAACACTCCTAAAATTCCCCTACCAAACAGGGAGGTACTACCACCTGGGAAGATATTGGAAGCATAATGTATTGTCTAATGGTAGACCCTGCTGCCATATGGCATTACGAAAATTGTGACCAAGTCCCAGGTTGCTGGTCTATCTTTCTGCCTCATTTACACACAATTGCAGGGTTTCAACTGTCTCTCTTACTATTGACAATACAACAAATATAACCGTACTCACTCTTGATCTGTTTTATTCATTCTATTTTATTCTCTTATGTCAGTTGATATTAATATTGAAGCGGGGCCTTCTCGGATGGGTCCCACTGGTCGGGAAGGTTGTGGACCCCAGGGCCAGGCTGATCATCATCCAGTTACTGGGGCCTCAACTGATGCCACCGCGGTTGCTGGAGGATCGGCTTTTTTCACACTTCATTTTTCCAACAATTGCGGCCTGAGATCCAATTTTCCTTCTGTGGAGCACCATCTATTAACCTCTTCCCCCGACCTCTTACTACTTTCCGAACTTCAATTGACAAAAGCAGCTTCACCCAAACTTTTCCAAGTCTCCAACTACAACCTTTATACCTCCTTCCGTTCTAAGGGAGGTGTATGCGCCTACTGCAACACACATACACCTATAGCTCGACTCACGGATCTTGAATCTTCCCTTTATGATGTCATTTGGCTCAAAATATCTCTACCTACTGTGACTATTTTCCTTTGTTTCTCCCAACTCTATCAACTATTTCAAACTCTTTGACTATCTCACTTCTTGCCATGAGTCATTGCTGTCCACACACCTCAACACCGAGATCCTCTACCTAGGGGATTTCAATGTACATCACAGAGTGGCTTGGCTCTGCAAGGGATGACCCAGGTGGAGCTGAGGCACTCTCTTTTTCCCTACTTAATGATTTGGAACAAATAATCAAACACCTTACAGTGATCAGGAACACGTGTAGGTCCTACACACGTTCCTGATTGTCACGATCAACTTGCTAACATTCTTGATCTTGTTTTACCTCTAACCCTTCACACTATTCATACTCAATTTCTGCCCCCTTAGGGTCTTCTGACCACAACCTTATTTCTATTAAATCAAACTGGGCACGACCACCTCCCCCACCCCCTTCTAAACGTCAACTATGGCACTATCGGAGGGCAAGCTGGCAATTCTTGCGAGAATTCTTCACCGACTTTTCTTGGGATGAATGTTGCTTTTCCACTTTGGACGCCTCGGTATGTGCTGACAGCATTGCTGGGGTTATACAGGGTGGTATGAGTGCATTTATCCCATCTTCTACTAAAACTTTCACATTACAATCATGGTTTCATCGCTCCTGCTCTCTTGCTTGCAGGGTGAGAGATAGGGCATATCTAGCCATGAAACTATCTCCATCTCCTATTACCCACACCTCTTTCATTACTTCTAGGAATCGTTGTTAGGCTATTCTTCGTAGGGCCAAGTGAAATTTTATTAAAAGAAAGACAGCTGTCCTGACTAGTTCTTCCTCTAGTAAATCCTTTTGGTCCTTAACTAAAAACATCTGTAACAACTTCTGTACTCCTTCTTTTCCTCCCCTCTTCTGACCCAATAACTCTATAGCCAACCCTCCCCCTGACAACCTCTTTGGCACCTTATTCTCCTCTAATTCCACCTTAGACGATTCCCACTCTATCTCTCCTACCCCTGCACCTCCTACTGAACCTATGCACTTTCCTCTAATCTCCACTTGCAGGGTTGCTGGTGTGTTATCCAGGTTGGATGTGAGTCAGGTGCATGGACCGGACGGAATACCCCCTCATGTTCTGAGGGAGTGTGCTGAAGTCTTGGCCCCTGTGCTTCCTCGCCTCTTTTGCCTCTGCCTCAAAACCCAAACTTTTCCTTCTTCTTGGAAGCATGCCTTGGTTCAGCTCATACCGAAGAAGGGTGACCATTCTAATCCCTCTAACTATTGCCCCATTGCCCTAACTTCATCCCTCTCTAAGATTTTCGAAACTATCCTGAACTCCCATTTTCTCCGTCATCTTCAACGCTTTTCTCTTTTGTCGGATCATCAGTATGGCTTTCGTCAGGCGAGATCTACTGGTGATCTGCTCTCCTATTGCACCCATCTTTGGTCATCCTCTCTTCAGGATTGCGGGGAAACTTTCGTCGTGGCCCTCGACATCTCCAAAGCATTTGACAGGGTATGGCACAAGTCTTAACTATCTAAACTTTCCTCTTTTGGTTTCTCTCCCCCACTTTGTTTTCTCATCTCTAGCTTCCTTGAGAACCGACCCATGGCAGTTGTTGTTGAGGGATCGATCTCTCGCTCTTTTTGTATCAGTACTGGTGTCCCACAGGGTTTTGTTCTTTCACACTACAACTAATTCTATCCATTCTTACGCTGATGATTCTACTCTTCAGTCTTTTTCACATTTTCCCCTTCCTCCTAACTCTCAAACTAGATCTGTTTCTAGAACTGATATCATTACTTCTATCAATGCAGATCTGTGCAGCATCTCTGAATGGGGAGGTACAAACTAGGTTAAGTTCAATAGTAATTACACTCAATATTTACCAATTACACTTTGTAAATTAGACGATCTCCCACCAATTACATTTCAGGACGCTAACATCCTCCTAAATTCTGAAATAAATATGTTAGGCCTCACCATTTCCTCCAATATGTACTGGAAATCACACATCGTTAGTATAACTAAAGCTCCCTCCCGAAAGTTGGGAATGCTGTACAGATGCCGCAGCTACTTCTCTCCTGAGCAGTTGCTCCAAGTATATAAGGGATTCATTAGTCCTAACTTGGAGTACTGCTCTCATATCTGGGGTGGCTCTTCTTCTGTCCAACTATTAGATAGGGTGGAATCTAACGCATTTCGTCTTATTAACTCTCCTCCCTCTCTTCCCTTTCTCTTCGCCGCAATGTTGCTTCACTCTCTCTCTTTTACAGGTACTTTAACGGGCAATGTTCGGTGGATTTGGCATCCTGTGTACCACCGTCAGTGGTGGGCACGGTTCTGCTAATCCGCTAACTTCTAATTTGCGAAGGTAACTTTCTCGTTAGCGGATTAGCGTTTTCGCTAACTTTGGAAACTATTAGCGGACCAATTAGCTTCCGCTAAATTTAGTTCCACTAACTTTAAGTTCGCTAACAAAATTTATACATGTTTGTTCCTGTCTGTTGTAAGCGTATGGCACCGCGACGCGTGTCTCCAAACAGCCAGTCAGGCATGCTTGGCTGAATGCGTGTTAGTACGTGTAAACGTGAAAGGAATTTTTCGATTATTAAAGTTTAATACTTTTTTTTTACAGTAAGTAAAGACTGTCAGTGTATGTTAAAAGAATCATAGAATGTAATTTTAAACTAGTGTATAATTTCATTTCTCATTTATTTGTTAATTTAATTTAGGTTTGTTTTGTGTCAATGTATTTGCTTATGCTAAGTACTGCATAAGTTCATAACCAGGATGTCGTCCAAGGTGTGCGCCAAGCAAAATTTTCTAAAAACTTACTTTTCATTAAAGTTTAGAGTTTTCTGTTTATTTACATGACTAAGACCAACAATAAGTTATATAAAAATGCACTGGTATAATGTGTATGTGGTTGGTATTGCATATTTACATGAATATTGAATAAGGCCGATAGGTTGTATGAGAATGCAAATTAATTAATTGTGAAATTGTGTACAGTGTACACCTTGATAAGTTGATCATCATATGATCTTGGCATGATGCTATTTGCTACCTATGCTATACAGTACTATAGTTTTTGGATTCGTTTAATACTTTCTGTCTTTTCGTACAGTAAATACAGATTATAAAGTGTATGTTGAAACTTGAATGTAAACTAATGTCTAATTTCATTTGTTTATTTAATTATTTGTGTGCACCTTGATCATCATCTGATCTTGGCATGCTATACCTTTTTGGAAAGCTCTATGTCTAACCTACAAGACAACATGAAAATTTCAGCTCTCTAGGTCTGTTTTTAAGGGTTTTAGAGTGCTTCCCCCCCCAAAAAAAGAAGCTAAATTCATGTAATAAAAGTTAGCGGTTAGCGTGAGCTTCCGCTAATTTTTTTAGCTGTTTAGTGGTTTAGCGTTTGCGAAGTTAACTTTTTAGTTAGCAGATTAGCGGTTAGCGAAGCTAACTTTTCGTTTAGCTGTGCCCACCACTGACCTCCGGCAAGGCCGTGGGTTCATAACACACGTCTTGCCCTTCGGTGCCCACCTTTTCTCTGTGTATGTCGGTCACACGAGAATAACCCGTTATAGTACCTCCTTCTTTTCTCACACAGCCAAACTGTGGAATGCTCTGCATTTTTCTGTGTTTCCATACTTATACAATCTGTCTCACTTTAAAAAGCTGGTTTTCCAGCATCTGCGTGGTGTAGATTAACACAGTACAGTGACCCCTCGTTTAACGAACGCCTCGGTTAACGAAATTTCGGTTAACGAACTGCCTTCCATAAGGATCTTCAATTCGGTTAACGAACAAAAATTCGGTTAACGAATTTCTCACGAACCGACCTCAACATGTTTTCGCTTGCACTGGCCGGGCAACCAGCTTTAGTATCAGTCCGCCAATACATTAATCGGTTCTAGGGCTTAAATTCCTAACTATTTTAGTAAATATCAAGAAGTTTATACTATTCAATAATTTTAAAAGTTTAATATTCAATTTTTTAGTCATTTTAACAATTATTGAACATAATTGAAGGTAAAGTGACTAGTTTAAAGCGCAACATCCAGCCTCTTAACACAGCAAACAGGCGTTAGTCTCTCTCTGTTTTCACTGGAGGTAACATCTTGCTTGAGACTCTCTTCAACTAAACGCTTTTTCTGTGTTTCCAAGCAAATTATTGGTCATTTTGAAATATATTTTACATATTGACAATATATAATGCAGTGCAGTGTTGATTTAAAGAAAATAATCTTGAAATACACCAAGAGAACTAAAATTTTATGGGTGAAATGGTGCCATGGGGTGACTTCTCTTCCACCCCAATGCCTTCTCTTCTTCCTTCTCCTCCACCCCCATTCTAATTCCCATCATCATTATCATCCAGGAGCCTTCTACATACACACCTCAAAGTAAGTGAACTTTTCTACCATTTTTGTTGAATTTAGGAAATTTTCGGTGAGCTGGAACCAATTACCCAAAAACCCATTGAAACAATGGTTTCGGTTAACGAACGACCTTCTGGAACGGATTGAGTTCGTTAACCAAGGGGTTACTGTACAGTATAACCTTTTTCTTCTCTATTTTCAATTGCTTTCTGTTCTTTTTTTTTCGCCCCCCAGGACCTGGTTGGGCAATGTTTTCTCAGTTCTTGGTCGGCTTGATTGGGTGTGGTGTTTTCTTGGTGTTGTTTGCTTGTTGTGGGGGCCTTGTTAGCTTGAAATTGACGATCTTCTTTTCCTCCTCTTTTTGCTCTCTTGGACCGTCCATTTGCTTGTGTCTAGGTCCTGTTCTTTTTCGTGCCCTGGCTGCTCGTAGATGTGGAGGAAGTCGGAGGAGGTGATCGTGATGAGGTGTTCTGCCCCTGGGGTGTCGCGGTCTTCTTGTCTCTTGGTAATGTGTGTCTTTTCTTGGGTCTTCTTGTCTCTTCTTGTTTCTTGGTTTCTTGTTTTTTTCTTGTCTTGGGTGTGTACTGCAAGGAGGGCCTCCTTGTAACTCAGTTTCTTGTTGAGCCGAACCTTGGCTATCCTGCATTCCTCCTTCCATTTGGGGCAGGTCCGGCCGGCAGAGGAGTGTGGGACGCCATACGCAGCGCATTTTTTCTCTGCATTGGATCAGGCTGTGTATCGGTGTCCGGGGGTACCGCATAGGGAGCATATGTCCTGCATCTCACACTTGAGGACAGTGTGACTGTAGTGCTGGCATTTGTAGCAGCCTTTGGGTCTTGACTGGCACGGTTATCCACGCCAGTTGAGCTTTTTTGGGTAGGGTTTCGTGGTGTCCGACGAGGGCAGTGGTGTCAGACAGCTTCTTGACACAGCTGAGTTGTCCCTCAAGTAGTTGGTCCAGCTCTTTGCATCCATTTGGGCAATTTCGGCTTGGGAGATTACTCCCAGCTTCAAGTTGTCCCACATGTAGGCTATCGTATGTACTTGGATGCTGTTGATGTCGGAGAGCTCTGCGAGTTGTCCGCATATAATCTTGGTGGCTTTTAATGGTACATATCATTTCCAGGTCAGGTGTTGTCGGCCCATGTTGCTGGCAAGGTAGTGATGAAGAGTTACTTGTCTGGGATGCCTGAGTGCAAGTTTGGCATCAATGACAAAATTGTGATGGATGCTAAGAGAGGTAAGTGAGCTGCTGTAGTAGTATCTGCCTCCAACACATGTAACACTAAAGGGCCTCCACATAACTCCACTCGAGCTTCTTCTAATACTGTACTGCTGTTTTTTGCTTCCTCTTTTCATATTTTAGGACCAGGTTGAGTGTAGCCTGCCATTTCTTTTCGTTCCTTCACGTACCCAGACCACAAGTATCCTTTCAATTAAAGTAACTGAGATCTGGGTAGTTGTAGTAGTAGAAATTAGAAATTATTATATCCTGATCACTATCCTTTCTTAGTAAGACTGAAATCTGTTTTAAATTAAATTTAACACACTGTTATTTATGTGTCACCCACTCACCATTCCTTCCTTCTGTACTTTTAAAGTTTAAAGTAAATTTCATACATTGTATGAACATGTCTACAGAAGTACTTGTAATGTTCACACTTCCTCACACAGGTTAGATTTCATAATCTTGCAGGCTTTCTTAAGTTCAATTGATTTTTGTCTACACGAAGTACAGAAGCAGTTATGCAGTAGTCCAAAACATTATAATTATTGCTGTAGTTGCCATAAAAAAATTTACCCATAATATTTTTTAAATTTTCAGGGTGCCATATCAAAGTACGGTACAGTACAGTATGTTGTTTCACCCATACTGTATTTCAGGGCCAGCTATTATATAATAGTATAGTACTGAATAACTAAAATATCCTATGACCATAATGGAAGTCAGGCCCTGGTATTATATAACAGTACATGTACAGTATAACTATAATGTATCCTGTCACCCATACTCGAGTTAAGGTTTGGTATTATACATCAGTACAGTTTAGCTGTAATATATCTTCTCACCTGCCCTGGATCATTAAGTCATGGAATATTATATTCATGCCTGCTTCAGGAGTGACTGAAGCAGGGATAAATGAAAGGAGTGTGGATGTTCAGCCTTCAAGGAAAACAAAATTGAATGATTGATGAGAAATCTACTGGTGATAAGTGTAGGGCATAAAGTGTGGAGAAACTGAAAGGGTGAAAGCAAAAGGTGTGACAGTTCTGATGAATGATGAAGTGTGAAGTTACGTGATGGAATACAATGAGATAAGCCCCAAAATATTATATGGTAAACTAAAAGTGGAGTATGACAGATGGATTTTGAGAGTTTATATGTCCCAAGGGAATACTCCCTATTTTTTATCTATTTATTTTTATTTAACGGGAATTATCCCACCTGGGCACAGGTCATCAACCCACAACGGGGCCTAGGGGGGCGAAAAAATAAAAACAGAAAGAAATTAAAAATAGAAAAGAAAAAGGTTGTATTAATCTACTCCATGAAGATGCCGGAAAACCAGCATTTTAAAGTGAAACAGATTGTATAAGTATGGAAACACAGAAGAAGGCAGAGCATTCCACAGTTTGGCTGAGGAAAAAAGGGGGTACTATAACGGGTTATTCTTGTGTGACCGACATCCACTCACCACAGGCAAGACGTGTGTTATGAACCCACGGCTTTGCCGGAGGTACACAGGATGCCAAATACATCGAAAGGCTGCCCGAGAGAGAGAGAGAGAGAGAGAGAGAGAGAGAGAGAGAGAGAGAGAGAGAGAGAGAGAGAGAGAGAGAGAGAGAGAGAGAGAGAGAGAGAGAGAGAGAGAGAGAGAGAGAGAGAGAGAGAGAGAGAGAGAGAGAGAGAGAGAGAGAGAGAGAGAGAGAGAGAGAGAGAGAGAGAGAGAGAGAGAGAGAGAGAGAGAGAGAGAGAGAGAGAGAGAGAGAGAGAGAGAGAGAGAGAGAGAGAGAGAGAGAGAGAGAGAGAGAGAGAGAGAGAGAGAGAGAGAGAGAGAGAGAGAGAGAGAGAGAGAGAGAGAGAGAGAGAGAGAGAGAGAGAGAGAGAGAGAGAGAGAGAGAGAGAGAGAGAGAGAGAGAGAGAGAGAGAGAGAGAGAGAGAGAGAGAGAGAGAGAGAGAGAGAGAGAGAGAGAGAGAGAGAGAGAGAGAGAGAGAGAGAGAGAGAGAGAGAGAGAGAGAGAGAGAGAGAGAGAGAGAGAGAGAGAGAGAGAGAGAGAGAGAGAGAGAGAGAGAGAGAGAGAGAGAGAGAGAGAGAGAGAGAGAGAGAGAGAGAGAGAGAGAGAGAGAGAGAGAGAGAGAGAGAGAGAGAGAGAGAGAGAGAGAGAGAGAGAGAGAGAGAGAGAGAGAGAGAGAGAGAGAGAGAGAGAGAGAGAGAGAGAGAGAGAGAGAGAGAGAGAGAGAGAGAGAGAGAGAGAGAGAGAGAGAGAGAGAGAGGGGAGAGAGAGAGAGAGAGAGAGAGAGAGAGAGAGAGAGAGAGAGAGAGAGAGAGAGAGAGAGAGAGAGAGAGAGAGAGAGAGAGAGAGAGAGAGAGAGAGAGAGAGAGAGAGAGAGAGAGAGAGAGAGAGAGAGAGAGAGAGAGAGAGAGAGAGAGAGAGAGAGAGAGAGAGAGAGAGAGAGAGAGAGAGAGAGAGAGAGAGAGAGAGAGAGAGAGAGAGAGAGAGAGAGAGAGAGAGAGAGAGAGAGAGAGAGAGAGAGAGAGAGAGAGAGAGAGAGAGAGAGAGAGAGAGAGAGAGAGAGAGAGAGAGAGAGAGAGAGAGAGAGAGAGAGAGAGAGAGAGAGAGAGAGAGAGAGAGAGAGAGAGAGAGAGAGAGAGAGAGAGAGAGAGAGAGAGAGAGAGAGAGAGAGAGAGAGAGAGAGAGAGAGAGAGAGAGAGAGAGAGAGAGACTCAAAGTTAGGTCGAATGAATCCCTTATATACTTGAAGCAACTGCTCAGGAGTGAAGTAGCTACGTCATCTGTACAACTTTCGGGAGGCAGCTTTAGCTATATTAAGGATGTATAATTTCCATGACATATTAGAGGAAATGGTGAGGCCTAGCATATGTATTTCAGAATTTGGTAGAATGATAGCGTCCTGAAATGTAATTGGTGGGAGATCATCTAATTTAGAAAGTGTAATTGGTAAATACCGAGTTTTATTACTATTGAATTTAACCAAGTTTCTACCTCCCCATTCAGAGATTCCGCATTGATAGAATTAATAATATCAGCTCTAGAAACAGATCTAGTTTGAGAGTTAGGAGGAAGGGTAAAATGTGAAGAAGAGTGAAGAGTAGAATCATCAGTGTAAGAATGGATAGAATTAGTTGTATTGTGAAGTAATTCATTGATAAAAAGAAGGAAGAGAGTAGGTGAAAGAACAGAACCCTGTGGGACACCACTACTGGTAGAGAAAGAGCGAGAGATTGATCCCTCGACAACAACTGCCATGGATAGGTTCTCAAGGAAGCTAGAGATGAGAAAACAAAGTGGGGAGTGAAACCAAAAGAGGGAAGTTTAGATAGCAAAGATTTGTGCCATACCCTGTCAAATGCTTTGGAGATGTCGAGGGCCATGACGAAAGTTTTCCCATAATCCCTAAGAGAGGATGACCAAAGATAGATGCAGTAGGAGAGCAGATCACCAGTAGATCTCGCCTGGCGAAAGCCATACTGGTGATCCGACAAAAGAGAAAGGCGTTCAAGGTGACGGAGAGAATGGGAGTTAAGCATAGTTTCAAAAATCTTAGAGAGGGATGAAGTTAGGGCAATGGGGCAATTGTAAGAGGGATTAGAATGGTCACCCTTCTTCAAGATGGGCTGAACCGAGGCATGCTTCCAAGAAGAAGGAAAAGTTTGGGTTTTGAGGCAGAGGCAAAAGAGGCGAGCAAGCACAGGGGCCAGAACTTCAGCACACTCCCTCAGAACACGAGGGGGTATTCCGTCCGGTCCATGCACCTGACTCACATCCAACCTGAATAACACACCGGCAACTCTATGAGTGGAGATTATAGGAAAGTGCATAGGTTCAGTAGGAGCAGCAGGAGTAGGAGGGATAGAGTGGGAATTATCTAAGATGGAGTTAGAGGAGAATAAGGTGCTGATGAGATTGGCTTTATCAGGGGGTGAGAGTTGGCTATAGAGTTATCAGGTCGGAAGAGAGGGAGTGCAGAAGTTATTACGTACAGATGTTTTTGGTTAAGAACCAGAAGGATTTACTAGTGGAAGAGTTAGTCAGGACAGCGGTCTTTCTGTTTATAAAATTCCGCTTGGCCATATGAAGAATAGCCTTACAACGATTCCTAGATGTAATGAAAGAGGTGTGGGTAATAGGAGAGATAGTTTCATAGCTTGATATGCCCTCTCTCTCTTTATTCTTACCTCACCACATGTATCTTCTCAACAAAACTAATCGCCCACCCATCATCTGAGCCCACTGACAGAAATTCCTGTGATTTGCGATGAACTCGCAGATAAATCCGAGGGAAAATCAGAATTTTTTTGAAGATGAAATAACATTATTTGTTGTTGTTTTGATTGATTATATTGAATTCAGAGAGGTTTAATGTTTTATTTGTTACTGACTGTTGTGTCTGAACACTGAAACAAATATAGCTGGCCTAGATTAAAATTTCATCATAGGAAGACACAATGACCAAGAAAAAAATGTGGTAGGCAGTCGGGCACTTACATAAGAAGTGTGGATTTTCTCCAGTATTAATGTTCCTTGCTACAAATAAATGCTATTTTGAATATTTGTTTGTATTATTTCTATGTTGTAGGTTACCTAACTAAACTTTGATTCTGCATACTTTACATACAATTTTTTATTTATTTTTTTCAAAATAAACTTTAAAGTCGGTATTAAAATTTGTGCATGTCAAGATAATATGATAGATAAACCTTGGTATTCCTATAAACATGTGGAAAAAATCAGACAGATTTGACTTGAAAATTTACAAATCGCAGACAAATTATAAATTTTTGTCAGTGGGCATCGAGTCTAAGAAGGTATGCATAAACTCCAGGTGTTTGCTTTTATGTTTTTATGTAGTGTTTTTTTGTGTTCAAATAAGAAACATCGAATTAAAAACTCGCGAAATTTGAGAACCTACTGTATGTGAATTTGCAAGTACAGCGAGTTGTGGAGCAGTATACACCAATCTAGGTATTTCACTGATGGGAACACAGTCCTTCACAC